GGCGCGCCCGTGTACCTGGCGGCCGTGCTGGAGTACCTGACGGCCGAGATCCTGGAGCTGGCGGGCAACGCGGCCCGCGACAACAAGAAGACGCGCATCATCCCGCGCCACCTGCAGCTGGCCATCCGCAACGACGAGGAGCTCAACAAGCTGCTGGGCAAGGTCACCATCGCGCAGGGCGGCGTCCTGCCCAACATCCAGGCCGTGCTGCTGCCCAAGAAGACCGAGAGCCACCACAAGGCCAAGGGCAAGTAAAGGGGAAGTTTTGCGTCTTCCTCAATCTCAACCAAAGGCTCTTTTCAGAGCCACTCAGTTTTCACTAAAAGGGCTGGCATTTCCCGCATTGTAGCAGCTGCTTAAAAATGACCTTCAGTTTTCTCAACCTACCGGTAGGTGTCANTGTAGCCCCTAGTTGATAAAACCCCTCTACTGTAGTTCACACAGTAGGTGTCAGTACCCCGGAGACCAGACGTTAACCATACGTCTGATAGTTAAAGGACAAAAGTTACCATCAGCTGAGTGAGAGGAACCACAGGTGCTTTGTATCAGGCAATTAAGGTGACGGATGCAGCAGGCCCTCAGGGTTAAACGCCTCAGGACTAAAAGTGAAGTGCTTAGCAGTCTAAGCCTCTTTTCAGGGCCACCCTATTTTCTGGTAAAGACCTTACCATTTCTTTTTGTATTGAATGAGTCTGAAACAGTCACAGCTCCCCATCTCGTGACAAAAAAGTGCATCAAGAAATAAGGTATACCTGTATATATACACACACATATATATATAGGTTTATTCGTAAGTTAGAAAATAAGAACTTGCTATCCTAATGAAAATTCTTGCAGTAAAAAATGCTGGGAACAGTATATAACAATAATAGACACTTAAGTGGCCCCCAAAAGTTGGAAAAAACAAACTTTAGGTTGTGATCAGTACTACAAAGAAAACTACACCATGTCCAGAGGCTAGAGTGGCAGGAGAGCTGGGAGTGTTTCCTTTTGTGTCACTTAATTTACTGGGACTGCCTGTAACAATTTACCACAAACTTGATGGGATTATACAGCAGTTCTGGAGTCCAGAGTCCTTCATATTCCTTGACTGGCCACACACCTCCAGCCTCTACGTCCTTCACACCCTCCTTGCCTTTGTGCCTGCCCTCTCTTACGTGATCACAGTAGCCATTAGATTCAGGGCCCACTCTAAATCCAAGATGTTTTCATCTTGAGATCCTTAATAGTTACATGTGCACAGACCCTATTTCTAAATAAGGTGGCATTGTGAGGATCCAGGTAGATGGGAATTGGGGAGGAGGGGGCACACTTCAACCAACTACCATGTATTTTTTGTTACAAACAGTGATAATACTTAAGCCCACACAGATCAGCAGAACAATAAAAACTGAAGGCCCAGCCAGGCGTGGCTCAGTGGTTGAGCATCCACCTAGGATCCAGGAGGTCAAGGTTCCATTCCAGGTCAGGGCACATGCACATGGTTGCCGGCTCCATCCCGTCAGGGGCGTGGGGGAGGCAGCCGATCAATGACTCTCATCATCGATGTTTCTCTCTCTCCCTCTCCCTTCCTCTCTCTGAAATAAATAAAGATATATTTTTTAAAAATAAAAAAAGCTGAAGAATTAATTTTAAGTAAAATATTCAATATATAATAAAGTTTCTCAAATCAGTGGGGACATATTTGATATGCACTGATTAACCAGCCAGTTATTTTTTTAAAGTTAATTCTCTATATCTGGAATGTTGGGAATTATTTCTTAAGTGGTTCTACCCATAATTAGTAAGACATAATAGGAGCTGCTGTTGAAAATGAAAATTGGTACCTTTGGTGAACGAGAATTTAACAGTATATCTGGAATGCTTTAAAATTCTCTACTTAATTATTCCATCTTGTTCTGTTTCTGCAGTCAGTATGTGGAATGTCTCTCTCTTGCATATTAAGAAACATTCCAGAATGGTACAGTCTTATGCAAATACTGTTGGAGGAAAAAAATACATTTACATATATAGAGATAAAAACAAAATATTTTCTTCACTGCTTTTTTATGTATCTTCTACAATAGCGACTTTCAACTTTAGTTTCTATGGGCTACGAGGAAAAAAAATTGAAAATCGCATAGCTGTGGGACATTTACACCATGGAATACTATGCAGCTGTAAAGAAGAAGGCTCTCCTACCGATTGGGACAGTAAACAAGGACCTGGAGAATATTATGCCAGGCAAAATAAGCCAGGCAGAGAAAGACAAACATCACAGGATCTCACTTATATGTGGAATCTAAAGAACTTAATAAATTGATGAACAGAAATTATTCAATAACATGGAAGCATAGATCAGACTGAGGAATCTCAGAGGGATGGAGGAGGGCAGGTGGGTGGAGAAGGAGAGAGTAACCAAAGAATTTATATGCACATATGCAGAACCCAAGGGCACGGACAATGGTGTGGAGAGGGACTGGTGAGGCAGGTGGGGCAGGGTGGAATGGGTCATTGGGGAGAAAAAGGGACATACGTAATATTTTGAACAAAAAATAAAGAAAATCTTTGCTCTACAATGTTAAGGTTTTGTTTAATTTGGAAGGAGGGCGAGACACATTAAATAAGAAAAGAGAGAAAAACAACCCAGGTGTTGAGGATTCAAAAGAATTGACTGGGGGGAAAAGAAATTAGTATAGCAGGGTTTCCGCTTGCCTGCGGCCCAGAGGGACTTCGCGCCACAGCTCTACAGGTTTTCACTCTGGTCCGCGAGCGGTGCCTATAAGGAGGAGTTCCTGTCACTGCTGGTGCATTACTGGTCACCCAGCTCTTGGAAATGTCTGGTCGCGGCAAAGGCGGGAAGGGCCTCGGGAAGGGCGGCGCCAAGCGCCACCGCAAGGTGCTGCGCGACAACATCCAGGGCATCACCAAGCCCGCCATCCGGCGCCTGGCGCGGCGCGGCGGCGTCAAGCGCATCTCCGGGCTCATCTACGAGGAGACCCGCGGGGTGCTCAAGGTGTTCCTGGAGAACGTGATCCGCGACGCCGTCACCTACACGGAGCACGCCAAGCGCAAGACGGTCACGGCCATGGACGTGGTCTACGCGCTCAAGCGCCAGGGCCGCACCCTCTACGGCTTCGGCGGCTGAGCCCCCGCGTCCACCAGCCGCGTCTGTTCCCCCCAAAGGCCCTTTTTAGGGCCGCCCACTTTCTCTCGGGAAGGGCTGTGCGCGGCTGTCCTGCTTTGTGGACACAGGCAGAAACGACAGGGCGAACCCTAACGGCTCCAGCGGGTTTGCAGTGGAAGCCCCCATCTCTCCTTTGCCTCCGGTAAGGGGCTCAGCTGTAGCTTGCGGTTTTCGCGGAGAATAACCCCGCGTGTGTGGGGTGTCTTAGTAAATTGCAATGGTTTCGCCAGGCGCCCACGGAAAGAGGAAACAAAATGTTGGGTGCTCATTTCTAATAGGTTAGTCCCGAGCAACAAGGGCAGCCCGTCGCCACCCGGGCCTCGCAGATTCCCAGCCTCAGACTGGGCTCCTTCCTAAGCCCCAGGCCAGGCAGTTCGCCAGCGACCTTCCCTAGGGGGTCGGAGTTCTAACTCCACCGTCTACCTTCCTCTGCGAGTGGCCGCGCTCTGCCTTTGAAAGAGCTTCCTCGGGCGGCCACAGGCTCCCCGCCTCTTCTCTCCCTCTTCCCAGATCATCTTCCTCTTGGCTGCCTGCTGTGAATCAGATTTTTAAATTTTTGTTTTGTTTTGTTATGGGCTCTTTAAACACTACAATATGATTACAAAAAGTTTCTTTGAAATATGCCTTCAGACTGAACCCACAAACTCGCTTTCCGTAGCAAAACCAAAGGCCCTTTTCAGGCCAAGTTTCCATCGTAAAAGCTGAAGCGACCAGTGGCAAACTGCCTAAATAGAGCGACGTTAATTCTTTAGTGCAGCTTCCTAGGTTAACTCCGGGCTGGGAATGTGGGCCGGGGCGGTGCAGGGACCCTGCCAGGATTGCTGAGGCCAGGGGAGGGCCTCTGTCTCCCCCGCCCCACCCTGGTGTCCGGCCGCGAGTTGGAACTGCCTGGAGCCTGAAGAACCCGTGTCAGGCCTGGGGTCTAGAAGGTCCTGACCATCACTATTCTCCCTTTGGCCCTTTAAATGTATTAATAATTGCTTTGTTTTCCTTGCAAAACCCTTTTTTCTTTGGTACAGTGTTGCCCTAGGCCCAGTCCAAAGGTTATTTTGACCGGTTTTAACCCTCCAAGGTTTCAGGTATAAGCAGCTCCAGCTCCATTTTATTTTAGGGTTTTTTTTGAGGGTACGTTTATTAAAGCTGGGGACCGTGAAACGAAGGGCTTAGCATAGAAGAAGCAACACGAGAGACTAAGCTGGACGGGTTTGGTTCTCTAAAAATGTTAGAGGAAAGAGATGTACCAAGGCGGAGCTGCTTTAGCTCACTGGGAAGTCAGAAGGGGGCCTTAAAGACAGGCTCAGGGGAGGGGTTCAGCCCTGGATGAGCTGCCTCTGCCCTTTGCTCCCATTGTTGCAAGTCTCGCGGGGACGCTTAGAGCTTCGGAGTGTCAGTGGGGGAAGGGAAAGGCGCGGGCAGGATCCCCGGAGGGAGAGCGCGCCTCCCTCCATCTTGTTTTAGAGTGGATCCCATTTAAAATACGTATCTACAGCTCTTATGTTGACAACTGGGTGGCTCTGAAAAGAGCCTTTGGATAAAGAGGTGCCTGCAGAGGCACTTACTTGGCGCTGGTGTACTTGGTGACGGCCTTGGTGCCCTCGGACACGGCGTGCTTGGCCAGCTCGCCCGGCAGCAGCAGGCGCACGGCCGTCTGGATCTCCCGCGACGTGATGGTCGAGCGCTTGTTGTAATGCGCCAGGCGCGACGCCTCGCCCGCGATGCGCTCGAAGATGTCGTTGACGAAGGAGTTCATGATGCCCATGGCCTTGGACGAGATGCCGGTGTCGGGGTGCACCTGCTTCAGCACCTTGTACACGTAGACCGAGTAGCTCTCCTTGCGGCTGCGCTTGCGCTTCTTGCCGTCCTTCTTCTGCGCCTTGGTCACCGCCTTCTTGGAGCCCTTCTTCGGGGCGGGCGCGGACTTGGCCGGCTCGGGCATGGTCGCGACAAACCGCCGAACAAACTGCTAAATAATGGGAAGAACGCGTGGAAAGCTGCGAGCGTCCTCTGGGTTCCCAGCCTCTTAAAGGAGCCGGTGAGTAAAGTCGTGTCTGACTGGCGGTGACTCCTGGAAACGTCACATGAATGTCGTCCAGTCAAAATAAGTGTGTTTCAGAACCAGGATCCCATTGGTTGAAGTGAACCGGCTGTAACTTTTGGCCAATGGCACAGATTCACTTTCGCGCCCTGGAACCGCTATAAAGAGGGCCCCTCTGGATGACTCGACTCCTACCCAGGTCAGAGCGGAGGTTTTCATCCACTATGTCTGGACGCGGAAAGCAGGGCGGCAAGGCGCGCGCCAAGGCCAAGACGCGCTCCTCGCGGGCCGGGCTGCAGTTCCCCGTGGGCCGCGTGCACCGCCTGCTGCGCAAGGGCAACTACGCGGAGCGGGTCGGGGCCGGCGCGCCCGTGTACCTGGCGGCCGTGCTGGAGTACCTGACGGCCGAGATCCTGGAGCTGGCGGGCAACGCGGCCCGCGACAACAAGAAGACGCGCATCATCCCGCGCCACCTGCAGCTGGCCATCCGCAACGACGAGGAGCTCAACAAGCTGCTGGGCAAGGTCACCATCGCGCAGGGCGGCGTCCTGCCCAACATCCAGGCCGTGCTGCTGCCCAAGAAGACCGAGAGCCACCACAAGGCCAAGGGAGAAAGAGCCACCACAAGGCCAAGTAAGAAAGAGCCAGGTTAGAAACGCTGGTGTAAACAAAGGCTCTTTTCAGAGCCACTTACACTATCGGAGAAAGCTGGTACACCCAACCTGTCTTACTCTTTTTTTCAGCAGATAATCCCTTTTTCTTTAGGATTTAACCCCAAAGAGAATTAGGTTTTGATTTATTGACTTAAAATGTGCAGAATTACTGAATCCCATATTGGTTAATTCGTGGCCCTATTTCTTTGGAAAACGTGTTTTCATTTCCTGAACTCACAGCAGGTCAGGGTACAACGAGGAATGCAACCTAGAGAATTGCCTCTGGGCAAACCCAGATGGGGGAGACAGATATGCTAACTTGTGCTGTCAAGTGTTTTATGTGTCAGGCAGGAAATAGGTTAAGCTATAGAGCATAATGGAGCTAGTTAGATAGAGGGTAAGTGGAGTTAAGCTCTTTAATGAAAGGTGTTACCTGATCAGAGACCTACATAAATTGAAAAAAGAAATGAGAGCAGCAGCTATTAGGGGAAGAGGACTCCCAAGTAGAGATGAAAGTGCAACGGCCTGAAGACAAAACGTGTTTGGTACTTGGGGACAGTCCATGAGGCTATGAAGTGAAAGGGGAGGGGGGTGAAACGTGACCATTAATACAGGACTTTGTTGGGTGTGTAAATTAATGTGTATGAATAACTAAAAACAACAGCAATCCTGATCTCTGGGATAATAAATTTGATAATACAAATTAGTTATGGAAAAAGCTACAGAACACAAACCACTTTTTTTTTTTTTTAAAAAAAGACACCAAAAAATAGCATTGACTTTAGCATGTGGGGTTTACAAACTGATTTGAGAGAAAATGACTTGTAATACACAGATTTATTTGCTGCTTCTGTGCAGAAATGATAACATACAAGAGAATCCCTGCCACACAGAAAAATTCATGGTGATGTAATGATGCAGATTGGGTTCTGTGAGGCAGATGCTGAGGTCAAGTTTGCAGTGGAAGATGATTATCAGAGACCAAAATCTGTAAAAGGAGAGTCAAATTGATACAGACCAGACACAGGTGGGGAGCTCTGGTGCCTGTATTGCCTGTTAGAGGTGCCCCCACATTGGGTCCAAATGTCCCTGAACCAGCCCTTATATCCCCACTTTGCTGTCACTGGAGGTGGGCTGCTGGGGAAAAGTAGACAGAAGGAGCTGTCTGTACTTGGCCAGCAAGTCTTTACTCAAGGTGGGATCTGGGCACTGCATCTGCACGCCTACAACATGTACATTAACATGAATATAAATATCAACATTGAGCAATGTCAGTGATGGTAATTGTAAGACTGACCAGCATACATCGCTGGTATTGCTTCTTTACTTTCATAAGGAAATTCAAAGAGGATGTTTTCATTTTAGAGAAATGAGCAAACCTACAAACTAAAAATCTTTACTCATTTTATACACTCTTGCAAAAGTTTTAGATGCATCAACTGTTGCAAAGGGAAGGTAATGTAAAACAATTGCAAGAAAAGTGAGGATCACCCCCTGGCCTTCTCTCCCTCCTCCAGATCCAGGAAGGCACTTCACTCATCCAGTGCTGGGACATAACTCAGCTTTGCACCATAATGTGAAAGCTTCAACAAGAACAGTGTGAAGAGAGTGAGCCTTTAAAAAACACCCAGAAAGAGATACTCACTACAGACCACTTACAGGATAAGTATGTAAGATAAATACACGTATTTAATGTTGCTGGGAAGAGAGCAGAGGAAGGGCTGTGGCAGGTGCTCTAGTAGCACCCTCGCTGCGATGCTACAGTGGTTACTCTGTTGTGGCCGCAGCAACCTCAGTGGGGATCTGAGTCTTGGCAGAAGTGGAATTCCTGGGATTAGGTTCTCATACTCTTCAGGTGAGAAGATGGTTAGTGACTCTAGCCATCAGGCTTTTCTGAAACCTATTTCTCCATAACTCAGTGTCTGGAAGTGCAGAAATAACAGGACTATTCTTGGTGACAATCTGAGCTAGCAGTGTGTGTGGCAGTGGATCTCCCAGAGACAGGATGGGGGAGAATCGCCAGTTGTTTCTCCGAAGCTTAAAACAAAAGAACCCCACTGTTTGCCTCCTAGAGAGGAGGGGAAGAAAAGCCCTCCGTTGCTGATTCCACTGGGGATCGAACCCAGGACCTTCTGCGTGTAAAGCAGACGTGCTAACCGCTGCACTATGGAACCACACACTTGTGGGAAATATTTCAGAGTTAATGCAGTAGAAAATGTTTATAATTATTTGACTCATAATTTTGGTGGGTGTTTGGTTTTTTTGGTGCTAAATTGCATTTCCTGTGCATCTCTCACACACAAGTTTGAAATAATCTCAAGTAGAGTCATTATAAACACATGAGAAAAAAGGCCTGAAACCTCACTCTTGACCCTTTGAACACTTCTATGTCCATCATTCATTCCAAGATTATTTTGAGCAGGTGCCAAGCACCTGTGGAGGTTCAGCAGACAGAGTAGTGCCGCAATTAGAACCCCTGAGTGCACTCACCTTACACTGTGGTGCCTACACAACCTGTAGCAAATTACAGGTGCTGGGTAAGTGATTCTCTATAAACAGACCTCCCTTTATTTGTGACTGGGCCAGAACAGACCAACTGGGGACTGCTCACTGAGTTATGCTTAGGATATTTGTGCATTAAGATGGGAAGCAAATAAATGTTTTCCACTGTAGGGGGTCAGAAAATGCCACCCCAAAATACATGTGCCTCTGGCAGATTATTTTGAATTAAAAGCACTTGAAAACAACAGTTGCAAAAAAAGGCATTCTGAGTAGTTACATGAAACAGGAGGCTTGAAGTGTGGGATGCTACATGAGCACCCACATATCCTGGAAACCCTTACTAAACCAAATTTTGGGTACCAGAAGACACAACTTCAACAGATTGTCACATAAAAACTGTACATTTATCAAGATATCCAGTTGGATCAATGTCTCAAACGTGAAAAAGAAAATATAGATTTTTTGAGAGAAGATTTATAACCCAGTAACAGAGAAAGACCGTTTAAGCATAACTTCAAAAGTTCAAGTCCTAAGGGATAGAGGAGACAAATTCTTAACAAAAATCAAGTTCCTACCATTAAGTTTCTCCACTGACAACATCAATAGGTAACATAATGGTAGACACTACTGCAAGGTCTAAAATTCACAATAGACTAATAACAATATGCCCCTGTAGGTCAACATGAAATAGACATCAACCTCAATAAGAACACTGGCAAATGATAAGAGTCAATGCACTTAAATGCAATTCAAATGGCTAAACAGATGCTCAAAGTCTTTAAAGACCATAGATGCAAACCTCAAAAAGCAATGATGAGATTCATCACTCCACACACTAGATGAACTAGAAAGCTGGATAATGTTAAGCGTGGGCACGATCAAAGGACACGCAGTGCGGGTGGAGCGTAGACAGACTGGAGAAGAAGCTGGGACCATTAGCCGTTCTCCTGCAAGCCTATCCCAGTGCAGTCCTCACACGAGTACACCAAGGGGGGCGGCCGAGGGGCGGGTTATTTGCGGCATGGGACTGGAGGCAACCTGGGGTCCATCTCTGGAACAGGGCAGGAAACACACGGCCGGTGCCCACCGGACTGTGCATAGCAGTCAGAAGCAATGACGGGTGTGCACAGGGCAGCTTGGGTGGATCTTAAAGTCACAATGATTTTTTTAAAGGCATAAGAATATATACTATACCGTTTACATAAACGTATAATATATGTACACAAAACAAAAATGCCAACTTTGTAAAGAATGCATGTGATCAAAATGATGCACGATAACCAGATTAGAAAGGCTGCTTATGAGGCGGGGAATGGCAGCAGGACGCGCGGACAACGGGGAATTCATAGATCCAAACCCTCCGCTCAGGTTTACGTCGTTGAGGACAGAACCAAGTCAGTTCAACGAGCACAATGAGACGGTGCCCCGCAACGTTTCACCCCGCGGCCCCCGCGCGGAGCGGCAGATCCACTGAGGCCCAGGCTGTGTCCTTGAACGAGGGGCCCCGATGGCGCCTGGTTCGCGCGAGGTGCGAGCGGGAGGCCGCCAGCCTCCTCCGCATCCGTGCGTCCGCAGCTTTGCTTCCTTTCTTTTCTCGTGCAGGTCAGCTGAAAAGAAGGAGCATGACAGTTGTCATGTGCAGTGAATTAGCTCAGAAGGTAGCACCGTGGGCTCTGCCGCCAGACCACAGAGGAATTTTTCTGGCATCACTCGTTTGCTTGGGGTTTGGAGACCAAATTTTTAAAACTTACTTTCTTTACCTTCCTCTAGAATAC